GCCGGATGTCTGGGCCTGCGCACGGTTTCGAGTTTCGGCAGCCAACCGGTTCTTTTATCAGCGCCGGGAATGAAAATCGAAGAGGGAAAAGACCTTCCGGCTCCTTACGTAACACCCGAATTGAAACTGCTGAGTAAAGAGACAAAAGAACGGACTTCGCATCCGAGCGAAAGAGCTTCGAGCTTGTCTTCGCAGAGAGAAGTGACACTTCACGGAATGCGCCGAGTAAGGTCTAAGGGAGGATTCTCTGACGCCATGGAAGACTGATTTTGACCGTTTGACATGCGTTCAGAGCAGAGAAATCATCTTCTCTTGAACAGGCAGATTTTGACCATGAACAGCTGGACTATATCACTGCCGTGCGAAGGGAGAACGCCGTATGAGCCTTCAGAAGTTGCCATATTACCTTCGATAAAGAGCGAATTTAGTGGGAAAATCGTGAATATTTTCCCTCAAATTTTTCAGACAGAATCGTTCGCAATGAAATGTAAAATATATGAAAATTCCTACGGGAAATTTGCATAATATTCCTCAAATATACAGGTTTTAACCAGGAAAATTTCGCAACTTTCGAATGTTCATACGGCGTTCATCCTTAGCAAGGCATATTAACAATGCCTGATTTCCCATTATTTTTCCTTTACTCACGAAAAATCTAATACAAGAGGTCCATGCTTAATTTCTTCTAACTTTTCCTTTATTTAACAAACAACAGAAACATCAGGGTGTCTGTCTAATTCCCTCCAGTTTTCCCTTTGTTTAACAAAAAAACAACTGAGCGTCTTCTCAAATTTTATTTGAGATTTTCCTGATTTGTTGCTCGAGTACCTTGACACTTACTGTATTTTACAAATCAACTTCTTGACGAATCTGAAAAAATGTTTCATTTTTGCATGTGCTGCACTATATCGACGGTGGAAGTCCGCAACGACGTATCTCTGTTTGCGACGTCGCAGACTTCCTGTCATACTTCATTTTTTAAATAAAAAACTTCTGAACGGCAATTCTCTAAAGCTGCTGTGATTTTTTTTTCTATGGGCGAAGAAAAATCTGCAAAAGTTTTAAGGAATGATGTCTATTTGCTCATCTTAAAAAAAATAACGTACAGGAGCGGAGCTTTTCGAACACCGCTAATGAGATACGTGGCTACGGACTTACGGACTTTTTTTAGAGAAAAAATATCGCATCCGAGTGCAGTTTCGATATCAGTATCGAATGCAATACTTTGCCTCAAAAAAGAAAAGAAAAGAAAAGAAAAAGAGAGAAAAAAAAACCAACGCCTTTAAGACGTTGAATTTGCTTGTCAAACAGGATTGCGATCTCAAAATTCGAGAAAAATGACGAGTAGCCGAAAAAATGGAACAAATCGATGCGATAAATCGCATGTCATTCTGACACTTGAACGTGAATGATACAGCATATTCCGTAACGCAGCCAAAACATAAAATCGAATACAAGATTCCACCTTCGCTGGGATACTGGTGAGGGGCCTTAGTTCTGACTGGGGGAAGACTGCACTACTGCAGCACCCTGTATAACTTACAGAAGAAGACTGTAAGAGGGAAGACGATGGGATCGTCGCTTCGGCTCCGCCCCGAACAACCTCAGCAACAAACCACAAGAACTCTATTAATTCTCACCTTAGCGAATGAAGTCACTTTCCCATCGAGGTAGATACGAGGCGGAGCGTTTGTTGAACATGAAAAAAAAAAAAAACCGCCCGCTTCAAAAAATTGACGACCCTGTACCACCGTGGAGAGGAATAACCAAAGGGAATAACGCCATAAGTTGTTAAATGCCCCAACGTTGCTAAATGTCTCCTATTAAGGTGATTCGATGGACGCCATATTTTGTGTCAAGCATGCGATATATCGCATCCATTGGTTCCATTTTTTTAGCTACTCGTCATTTTTCTCCAATTTTGAGATCGCAATTCTGTTGTCAGGAGACTAAAGCACTCACTTACCAATTTTAACAGAGAAATTCAACGTAATAAAGGCGTGGTTTTATTAGAGAGAAAATATCGCATTCGAGTGCAGTTTTACTGGACCTTCTTTCACCTTTACTGGAAAAATCCGTAGAATTTATAGAAGATTCGAAGAAAAATATGCAAAGCGCTCCTCCTTACCGAGGTCCTTACGTGTAGTTTACCGAGAGAATTTTACGACTATCAACCTCCGTTTGCGGCGTTGCAGACCTTCTGTCATACTTTATTTTATCTGAGGAATACCGGGAGTCATTTCTTGAGAACTTCCTTGATTATTTCTCTATATCAGTACCATATTCTGTCTTTCCAAGCTGTAAATTTTACTCGTTTCTCTTCCATAATAATCAACGAGGATCGAAAAATTTTTAACACCGCAACACTGCCGTGCTAAGGAAAAACGCCGTATGAATATTCGAGAAGTGCCAAATTTCCTTCGATAAAATGCTTATTCTTGTACGAATATTTTTCCTTCAAATTTTCAGAATCTTTAGGTGAAATGGCTAACAAGATTATCTGAAGAATTGGGAGGAAAATATTCCTAAGTTTATGAGGAGATTCACTTATCAAAGGAAATTTGGCAACGCCTGAAGGTCCATACGGCGTTTTTCCTTAGCACGGTAGAATAGATACGTGGTTACGCACTTTGGCCATCGACATGGCCACTCGAACAAATTGGCGGATTCGGCAAATTGGCAACATTGTTTCTTTATATTAAAACCTATGGAAATGTATCGACTCTTGGAGGGGCCAGGTGCTCCGAGAAGAATCGATTATTTAACATACGTATAAATAGAGGAAACCCCGTGTTGCCAAAATGCTGGATCCGCTTCTGCTCGAAAAATGCCTAATTTTACCTGATAAAATACGGATTTCCTGAAAACTCAGGGACCTAAGGATTTGTCTTCAACAATAATTTTTTCGGAAGATTCAATTCGTAATTCTATCTCGTGCTCTTGGAAATTGTTTTTAAATTAGAGAATTTGGAATTTTCTTGGGACATAAGGACGACGCTGAATTCCGCCTGATAGCATACGGATCCTCTAGTAGATCAGGGAATCTTTCTCTGTGAATTTCAGGGCGCGACTCAAATAAGAATTTTCTTACGGTCCTTCTTCTTAAAATTAGTTTTGCAGATAATATTCGAGGTACTTTTCTTGAGGATAAATATTCATCCAAAGGATTCGGCAATTTTTAAATAATTTAACAGCGTTGTTCCGATGCACCGTTGCGTTAAAAAACAAAAAAAAACAACAAAAAAAAACAAAAAAAAACAAAAAAAAAAAAAAACAAAAAAAAAAAAAAAAAAAAA